ACTGACAACGTCCATGACAGCTTTTATTTTTATTTTTTACTATATGCTTTGATTAATAATTTAATACCCCATCGTTAAGAAAAACATTATTGTATACTACTGGTGGTGCTTTTTTTCTTCTTTATCCAAATACTCCATTAGTTAATTAAAGAGAATATGCATAAAGACCTCATTCAACTTGTCATAAAAAAATTATTTACACATCTAAATTTTACGGGTGTCTTAACATTCCACTATTGTTAAAACAATTGTATTTATTTACTCCCTCCTAAACTCTGGCCCAGCTATATTAATTTGAGTGGGAAACACGCGCTTAATTAGTAAGCCACGTAATTAATATGGACTGCACTCAACAAACTGTCTTTCCTCTATCTAATTTTCATAGCACATTATATATTTCCTTGCCATCTTCCTATCTTTTCCTCTCAATTCAAGAATTCCAAATACCAATTCATTCCCCACTGAAAATTCAAAAAAAAACATTACATAAAAACCAAGAAAAAAACAGTATTCAATTCAATGGAAAAATCTGGTTATGGGCGTGATGGAATATACAGATCACTTAGACCTCCTCTGTTCTTCCAAGAACCAAAATCTTTCTATGGTCACTTTTCTCTTCATAAATATTTCATGAAAACCCAGTTCTTTTTTATGTTGATTCTGGTCAAACTTTGATTTTTTTCTCAATTCAAAATGTCTAGTAAGTAAAAATAACAGTCTCTAAACGAGTTTTATTCACCCATCAGTTAAAAATTCCTAAATTGAAGAACTCTAATGTCCAACCATTGAAAATTCTTCTTGCCTCGCCAAAATCAATTTACCCGAACAAAATTGAAGTGACCGGTTGCAAAATCCTTCGATTTCATTGTTATTTAGAATTCCTGACGAGTTGGAGGAAGACCTGTTCGAAGCCGAAGTTCTTTGAAGAATCAAGCTCAAACATTGAAGTTGAATTATCTGTGAAACATTACTATGTTTGAAAGAGAAAGATTAACCTTTGCTTTCAAAAATCAAAACTTCAAAAAGCAATTTGATGCAATTTCGGCAGAATATGAAGAAGAAATTAGGGTTCTTCAATTATGTTTGGTAAAATATTGGGGAAGAATGGATTTTACTGTTGGTTGGGGTTATATTGAAGTTAAAAATTTATTATTTTTTTTTGGGGGGGGGGGTTTTAACGATTAAAATAGAGCAAAGACGCGCTCAATTGCGTTTCTAAGACGCGCGTCTGACCAAGCTTTAGGAGAGAGTAAATAAATACAATTGTTTTAATAATAATAGGGTGTTAGGACACCCGTAAAGTTTAAGTGTGTAAATGATTTTTCATTACAAGTTGAACGTGGTGTNTTTTTAAAAAAAAAAAAAAAAAAAAAAAAAAAAAAAAAAAAAAAAAAAAAAAAAAAAAAACCTTGCTGGGTCGTAGCAATATGAATGCAGTGTTGTCATATCTACCTCAATCAAATAATATGTCCTAATCTCAGACTAATTAGATCAAGTTATATAAATACGTCGGAACTCGGAATCACTCAACTAGAGTTAAGTTCAAATTCAATATTCAAATGATCCATCATAACTTAATTATTTACGATAGTATTAAATTACATAATATTCTAATTATACTTGGTATGATGGACTGTAAGAATCTTTATTCGAGTCTGAATCCTTTTATTATCGCATAATTCATGTCTATTTAACTACGTAAACTTGCAAATACATAATCAAAAAGGGAAGAAAAAGAATTTTAGCTTTCTTTTATTTTATTTTTGTCCCTTAGGGGTCGTTGATTAGGGCTGTGCATTTGGATCGGATATCCGAAATCCGATCCGACATACTCTATTTCGGATTTTCGGATTTCGGATTTCGGATTTTCGGATTGGATACGGATTATGTTTTTTAAAATTTCGAATTTTCGGATTGGCATGATTTTAATCCGATCCGATCCGAAATCCGAAATTATATGGGCCTATATAGTATATATAAATAGTTAAATACTATACTACCCTAAAATTTTAGGGTTAACTTAACCCGGTTAAGTATACTATACTACTCTAAATAATATTCCTAGGTTATATCGGTGTTTCCTCTTTTCCGCCTCTCTTCAGTTCACTAGTTCACCTTCACTCTTCAGAGTTCATTGTTGCCAGTTGCCACAGTCAAGCCAGTGAAGTTCAGAGTTCAGTCGACCAAGCTTCCGCGGTTCCGCCTCTCTTCTTCTTCACTCTTTATCTCAGTGACTCAGTCCTCTCGGTCTCGAAGTCTCAACTCTCAAGCCAGTGAAGTAGTGAACTCCAAGTTCTCTCGAAGTCTCAAGCCAGTAAAGTAATCTTCTTCTTCACTATTAGTTATTATTGGTTCATACTTCATTGTTGCTTTCCCCTCTGTCTTAGAGCTCAAATGTGATGTTTTCTACCTTTTATTTCTCGACAAAAATCAAATAATGTGTGTTTTTGTGTCTTTTTTTTGTGTGTTAGAGAGATATTACAACATCTTTATTTTGAATTTTCATACTATTTTTTCAATTTTTATGTATGTATCGATTTGTCTTTATGTTCTGTTTTTTATCTCTTTCATTTTCTATTCTTCTTTTTCTGATTTTATTTTGGTTTTTTTGTTTGTTTTGGTAGATGGAAAACGAGACAGAGACAGTGAATGAACTTCAAATTGTTGAAACAGTTGGTGAAAGTAATGCTTCAACTGATTCAGATTCAACAACCAATAACAGTGAATCTGAACCAGGTTCGAAGAAAAGAAAAATGGTTAAAGAAAGATCAATGGCTTGGCGCTACTTCAACAAGTTCACTGATTCCGAGGGTGTGAAAAAAGCGAGATGCAAGTTTTGTTCAGAAGAATATGTAGCTGATACTAAGCATAGCGGCACAAGCAATTTGTTATTGCATATTCCCAAATGTCCGACCAATCCCTACAAGGCAGAAGGTAGCCAGACAACATTAGGTTTTCAGCCGCAAGGTCTAACAGGTGATGTTTCAGTTATCCCTTGGAAATTTGATCAAGAGGCATGTAGGAGGGCTTTAGCTCGTATGATTATTAAAGATGAACTTCCTTTTATTTCTGTTGAAAAAGATGGATTTAGAGACTTTGTTAGAAGTCTTCAACCTTTATTTCATATTCCATCTCGTACTACTATGACTAGGGATTGTCTTGAGATTTACCATGAAGCTAGACTTGCTTTGAAGTCTATTCTTAAAGAATCAAAACAGAGAATATGTATTACTACTGATACATGGACTTCAATTCAAAGAATTAATTATATGTGTGTTACAGCCCATTACATTGATAATAATTGGAAATTTCATAAAAGGATATTGAATTTTTGTCCAATTACTAGTCATAAAGGTCAAGATTTAGCTAGTGGTATTACAAAGTGTTTACTTGAATGGGGAGTGGATAAAGTATTTACTGTGACAGTTGATAATGCGAGTTCTAATGATGTGATGGTTAGAGAGTTATCCAAGCAATTTACTAGATGGAACACTAACTTGATGGAAGGTAAGCATGTTCATATGAGATGTATGGCTCACATCATCAATCTAGTTGTTCAAGATGGGTTGAGAGATGGGAGTGTGTTNACCGGCGGACGCATACTTGATCCATTTAGGAGTTCATTGACTCCTAGATTGGTTCAAGCTCTTGTGTGTGTCCAAGATTGGCTTCGTAATGAATCAACAACTCCGATTAAAATTGAAGAAGATTTAGATAATCTTGAACAACTTGAAGCTGGTAAGCCTATCTTATTACTTGTGTTTAATGTATACTTTATTTGTATGTTTATTTAGATTACTTCTAAACTAATTTCTTGTGTTACTATCTTATTATACAAAATTTATGAATACGGGAAGAGGGTCTTGCATTGTCGACATATAGTGATTTTCCATTTGTTGTACAAGCTCAGGTATTTCATTATACACTTGCTCTGAAAATGCTCTTTGTATTGATTCATTATACACTTGCTCTCAGGTATTTCATTATACAAGCTCTTTGTATTATACAGGTATTTCTGGACCATGAGCTGTCTTTTTCTTTCTCTGAAAATGCTCTTTGTATTGTTTGAAATTGCAGATTTTTAACTTGTCTCACAGTCCTACTGAGAATCTGAGATTGAGAGCTACATTTGGCCTGGTTGCTGGTTTGTGTTGACTGTTGCGGCTTCCCAAAACTTGGAACTTGGAACTCTTTTGTTTTGTGTAATATGTTAAAGAACTGTTGGGACTTTAGTAGTTTGGTTTGTTTTATTTTGCTATGAAAATATGGTTTGAAAGACAATTGATTGTGTTTTGTTTGGGGTCTTCAGTTTGGTTTACTGTCCAGTTGTGTAAATTTCAGATTGTTGTTTTGTTTTGTTAAGTTCGAACATTGTTACTAGGGCTGTGCATTTTTGAACTCAGTTGCATTATTAATTTTTATGAGTACTCAGTTCAGTCAGTTGTGTACTGTAAATTGAACATTGTTAACAATGTGAAGTACTTAATTTCGAAGTTCAAACAAGTATTTGAAAAGTGATTGCTCAATTTGTATTTGGAAAGTAATTCCCAACATTTGTTTATGTACTTCGAACAAGTTTTGAAAAGTGACAATCCGATCCGACAATCCGAAAAATTATCCGATCCAAAGTTTCAAATTCGATCCGATCCAATGTTAATTCGGATCGGATTCGGATTGCCCTTTTCAGAATCCGAAATCCGAAATCCGAATCCGAAATATGCTAAATCCGATCTGATCTGATCCGTGCACAGCCCTATCGTTGATAAGATAGTAATGAATATTGTATATTAGTAATGTTAAGATTAGTTATGTTGATAGCATTAAAAAAAATTGAAAAAGCAATTATATATTTTTATTTATATATTAAAAATTATATACTGCTAATATCATAATTTGTTATGTATGAAAATATTAGTTATATATCATTTTAAAAAAAAAAAACTAACAAACAAGAAATTAATTACTACAAAGGCTACAGCCGCAGCGCTGTGTTATATTATTTACAGAAAGCAGATGACACAATGGCTGTAGAAGAGAGCTCAATTATCTCTGATAATTCCTTCCCCTCGGGGCCCTTTGTCCCCACCACCTTATAGTATCTCCTTTCAAAGCTCATCAGCCAAGCCCTAATTTTCAGCTTTTTTTCTCTTAACTATTTCTTCATCTTTGCGTAGGTAAAAATTTCTTTCTTTTGGGAAATTTTCTGATTTCCTTTATGGGTTTTGATGTATTGTTGTGATCCTTCAACCCCTTTTCATTTGATGTGGTGTGGCACTTTCTGGAGGATTCTAATGCAAAAAAGATTCAATTTTTGAGGTTTTTAACTATTTGGGTTCTTTTTTTTTTTGTTTCTTGAATAGCTGGGAAAATCCTGTTGAATTTGTTGATGAATGATGCGTATCAGTCTGAGAGTAATTTTCAGCTGTTTGTTGGTGAATATTTCTGTTGTTTCATGCTGAATTTCAATTTCTCGAAAGCTTAATGCAATCTTTTAGTCCAATTTCTTTTCAATCTGAATTTATTTTTTTTTGTTTGCCCAGTTAGCTTGTTGTATCCTTACTAGGTCCAAACTTCATTTTTCCAAAGTTTCTTTGTTTAATATAACTTAGTGCGTATTGGAATCAATAGGACTGAACAGAGGATAGTGGAAATAGAAGATTAATATTGTTGACCCTAACAAGTTTGGGACTGAGGTCTAGTTGATTGATCTTTTTCACTCTTTCCCTTTTCCCCTTTATGATGCTAGCTGAATTTTATGGTTTTGTGGAATTTTAGTAGGAGGCATGCACTGAATTGTTATGATGCTAGCTGAATTTTATGGATTTGTGGCATTTTAATAGAAGCATGCATTGAATTGGTGGGTGCAAGTTATCAAGGTTGCAGCATAAAAAGGGGAAAGACTAATGGGTGGCGTATTGAGTCGGAGTAATCACAAATCTAATGTGGGGGAGCTCATTGAGGGTTCCCAAAGTGCAGCATGCAAGAGACAAAGGACATCAGATAGCTTCTGGGAGCATAGTCCACGATTGATTCCAAGTCTGCCCGATGAGATATCTATTCAAATCCTCGCCAGACTTCCTAGAATACACCACTTAAGTGCAAAATTAGTTTCGCGGAGCTGGAAAGCTGCTGTGATGAGCTCTGAACTTTATAGGTGTAGAAAAGAACTTGGAACGACCGAAGAGTGGCTCTATCTCTTGACAAAGACCGACGGTGATAAGCTTTTGTGGTATGCTTTTGATCCAATCTCCATAAAGTGGCAAAGGTTGCCACCAATGCCTGCAATGGCAGTCAATGATGGACCTAAAAGTGGTTTATCTGGACTTCGGGCGTGGAACGTGGTGGATTCCAGTATCAGAATTGCTGATGCCATAAGGGGTTGGCTTGGTAGGAAAAATGCTCTGGATCAAGTTCCATTTTGTGGTTGTGCTATTGGAGCTGTTGACGGATGCCTCTATGCACTTGGGGGATTCTTTAGAGCTGCGGCCATGACATCTGTTTGGCGGTATGACCCTATTGTAAACTCTTGGAATGAAGTAAGTCCCATGTCTATTGCGAGAGCTTATTGCAAGACAGGTGTCTTAAATGGAAAGCTTTATGTAGTAGGAGGTGTTACTCGGGATCGTGGTGGACTTACTCCCCTTCAATCTGCTGAAGTATTTGATCCTCATACCGGTGTTTGGTCTGAAGTCCCAAGCATGCCATTTTCAAAAGCTCAGATGCTACCCACTGCTTTTCTTGCTGATCTACTCAAACCTATAGCTACCGGGATGACATCTTATCAGGGGAAACTATATGTTCCTCAAAGTTTGTATTGCTGGCCTTTTTTTGTTGATGTTGGAGGAGAGGTGTATGATCCCGAAACAAATGCATGGGTTGAAATGCCAATTGGCATGGGAGATGGCTGGCCTGCTAGGCAGGCAGGAACAAAGTTGAGTGTCACTGTTGAAGGAGAGCTGTATGCATTGGATCCTTCTACTACTCTAGATAGTGCTAGAATAAAAGTTTATGATCATCAAGATGATTCATGGAAAGTGATTGAAGGAGATATACCCATTAACGACGATTCAGAGTCTCCTTATCTTCTTGCTGGTTTTCTTGGAAAGCTCCATGTGATTACTAAAGATGCAAATCACAATATCATGGTCATGCAAGCTGATAGGCAGAATCATTTAGTTCCTTCTCCATCAACCTCATCAAATAAAATTGTACATGAAGTTCCAGAACTGGTTTTAGGATCTGAAGCGAATATGTGGAGAGTTATTGCATCGAGAAGTGGTGGATCTGCAGAGCTGGTTAGCTGCCAGATCCTTGATGTATAGTTATGTCACGTAAGGTTGCGATTCACCTTGTTTTGATGTTGCCTTTCTGTATTTTCCCTCAGTTAATACAACCAGATAGTTTTATGATGTACGTGAAGCTCAGTCTTGAGGAAACAGCAACACTGTATATTGCAGCCTCCAAACATATATATATTTCCACAGAGATAATATAATTCGGCTAAAGTATGTTGTATGATCTGTGTGCATGTCTGGTCAGGTAATTCTTTTGTGGTCAGCAAAATTGATCCTTTAGGCACTTGATTTCTCATGCAGCCATGGAAAGAACTTGAATTATATGTGCGCGCTAATGTAATGATGCTCCTCTTTAAACAACTTTAATAAGGGCAATATGCTAATGGTGAATGAAATTATACTGTTTTCGCCAATCCTCTGTTCCTTCTGAGTTCTCAAAAGATAGCATTGCACACTATAGACTACTTTATGAACTATATATATAGAACTGTTTCCAATTAATCTTTTGTAGACTGATATCAATCTCCTACTTCTCTGATGCTTTCTGCATAGCGAGATATCTGAAGCATCGAAAATTTTCTTTCCCGTTATCTGGCATTCACCAATAAACTTTCTTGAAACACAAAAATTGGCAGGCAACTGAAAATTTTAGTACTGTAAAGTTGTGTGTTTATTTGTCTAACAAACAACCACTAGAAAAAGAAAATACATTTGTGCTTCCACAGCCATTCCTGCTGTGGATTAACTTTCACATTCAAACCTGTAAAAATGACCCAATATACTATAGACATTCTGATGTCATCAAAATTCCTGACATACAAATATAAGCTTAAAAATGAAAAAGAAGGAAAATAATATGCACAAAGATGAAATTGGGCAATTACAAATACAACGAGGATAATGAGTCCTATATGTGCTGCTGGCAGAATTGCAGAAAGATCGATCATCTTGGCCCTGATAACTCATCAGGTCGTAGATTATAAGTGGAGTCTGCGATAATCCAATCAGTGTGAGGGTGGTGAGCGGGATAGTCCTGACGGACCATCTCCTCTTTCTGCCATTCTTCCCACCTCTCAGCCAGGCCATCACCTTCAAGCATTCTCACCACTTCTGACATCTTTGGACGTTCCATTGGCGAGCTCCCTGTACAGAGAAGAGCTACCCGAATAAGCTGTTCCACCTCTTCTTCTTCGTAATTACCTTGAAGATCTGCATCTACTAATGTTTCATACTTCTTGTCCTTCAGAAGTCCCTTGACCTGAAATTTCAGCCAATTTTTAGAGGTCAACAAAGGTACATAACCATTCATTCATATGGCTGCCATTTACAACAAAACACCTCATCACGTCACTCAATAATTAATTTCATCAAAATAATAAGAAAGCATTCACCAAAGAAGCTATAGGAGACTGAGAAGACAGAAAACCGGAGAGCATGAGGCTCCTGATTCTCTGCTCATATTTGAATCGCATTGAATTTCCAAGTTCAGAAGTCACTTCATTTAATTTCCAAGTTTGAGTAGTCACTTTATTTAATTTCCCTAATAGTTCAAGTTAACTTCAACCACAGTGAAACGCTTGCCGTCCTCTCTTTCACTCCTCAAGGAAAAGTTCCTTTTCTCGAGGATCCTCCCAAAGGAGTCCCCTTTCGCTAAGCGTATCTTTACCTCACCTACATTCCAATGCAACACTAACCAAATACAGAGGAAATAGCCAAGCAATTCAGTACAAAAAAAGAATATATACTATTCTCTCTGCATAAAAGTGACAGTCAATTTGGCATGGAAGGAGTATCTGAATCTTCCGATGCAGGGATAAGCAAGATAAGTGTTTCTGCTAACCAAAGGGAGAAAGAGATTTTTACACTAAAGATCAATTATCGAACAATCTGCTATTATTAGATAATAAAACTTATCCACCCTGACCTTAACACAAATGTGACAAACATTTTAGCAAGAAATGGTTAAGTTCTAGAAAAACAAAGAAAATACAGAGTGCGCATAAATCCAAGTCACATGCAGAATATTATTTTGGAAACCTGGATGTTTTGAATGATCTAATATCAAAAATAACTGAAATCATACATGCTAAACTGCAAAGTAAGCCCTACTAGAACTCACAATAATTTTTTTATAAGGTAAAGCTCACAATATAAATCCATACTTATTAATTTAGACACAAATTCGCAGCTTTGAGACTTGAGAGAAGAAAGAAAGAGAGCTATGAGCTTGTATTATATGCGTAAAAGAATGAGGGAGATGAGAAGAATCTGAGATTTGTCGTTGAGGGGAGTATAGTGGATGTGGGTTAAATACAGGGGTAGGGAAGGGAGAAAAGGGCAGAAATGGGATTGGGGATATAAGAGGGAAAGGCAGGGAAAGGGACGTGACAGAGTCGCTTACTCGCTTATCTGCTCGTCCCCATTTGGCGTGGTAGGGTTGTTGTCTGTATGATTTGCAACTAATGATAAGAAATGATGCAGGTTTTACAAATCAGCTTTTCGTCATGTTGGGTACAGAAGCGATGGTGTTCTGCTTGCAGGCAGACGAATGCAGGAAAGTGGGTCCCTCTCACCTATGCTCACTTCCATTTTAAAAGTCAGCGGCACGACAAAAACTGGCAATTACAAAGAATATCAAGCTTTGACTTATAAAAGAGAAGAGAAAAATGATTGAGGTCTCCAGAATTAATCAGAAAAGATCTACAGATAAGCTAGAATTAGAACAACTAGAGTATGTACAGAAGTTAGTAAATGCTTACCCAATCTAGCAACATGACATCATCATCATTTGCAAGTCGAGCAAGATCAAAAGCCCGTTGCCCAGTTATGAGCTCTAGAAGCATAACTCCATAGCCAAACACATCCGTTTTCTCTGAAGATTTACCAGTGGATAAATACTCGGGGGCAATATGCCCAATTGTACCACGTACAGCAGTGGTAACATGAGTATCCTTGTAGTCCATGAGTTTGGCTAACCCAAAATCCCCAACAACTGCTTCATACTCCTCATCCAACAATATATTTGCAGCTTTGACATCACGGTGAATGATCTTAGGGTCGCAATGATCATGTAAATAAGCAAGGCCTCTTGCAGATCCAAGTGCTATACGCTTCCTTATTGACCACTCGAGTGGTGGATCTGATTCTGGCCGCTCTACAAGAATGTCAATTCCCCGTAAGAACAAATTCAGGATGTTAAGTAAACTAGTGGCAATTTCCTATTTTGGCTTAAAGAGAATTTACTTATCGGTATCGTGTGCTTCAAGCACAACTAAGAATTACTTTCTATTCCTGACACTACGAATTTAGATGATAAAACTTGAAGAGATATCATAATGTTTGGTAGACATCAAGGATGACAACACTTGTGAAATTGCTTGATAGAACACGAGTAAAAAGAAACATCAACTTCGCACTAGGATTTCATACTCATAATTATAACTCACTAACTACTAATACAACCACTACAAATATCAAATAATGTCAAGTTTACACAATGATCTACAACTCTGCAGTAACTTCTCCAAATTTATCACTAGACCATAACTTAATTCCAAAAAAGAATAAATAAACATTTTTCTGAGAATGAAAAAAGAACAAATAAATAAACATTGTTATTGGTTTTTAGCTTTTTCGAGTGCTTGAGCTGATGTATTTTGACTAAATGAAGGAGGAATAGAAAAAGAAATGCAGAAAATTCCAGACTAAGAGATACCTCTTAAGCGCGAAGCAACACTTCCATTCGACATGTATGGATAAACAAGCAACCGTTCAGTTGCTGTCATGCAAAAGCCCAACAAACGAAGTAGATTTCGATGCACAGCCATGCTAATCATTTCTACTTCTGTCTGAAACTGTAACTCCCCGCCTTGAGTACGCTCTTCTTTTAATCTTTTAACCGCAACTAAAGAGCCATCAGCCAACCTACCCTTGTAAACCTTGCCAAATCCTCCTCTACCAAGTATATTCTTGTTGCTAAAATTGTCTGTTGCAACTTGTAATTCGCGCAAGGAAAACCTCTTGAGTTGTCCAAGATGAACTTCTGGATCCTCCTCAGCTGCAAAACAAGGTAAAATTGTGAGAATACATTAAATTAAAATTAATAACAAAAAACTAATTGAGATGTTTGATTGAGGCCTCCCACCAGGAACATCAAAGAAGTGATCTTGTGGTTTCTTTCGACGCCACCAAGCAAGCAAAATTGCAGGAGCTGCAAACAGAAGAGCGGCCCCGGCAGCAACTCCTCCAGCAATTGCCCCGGTTGCACTGTTGCCCACACCTAGGAGTTTCGAATTTTTAAGTTGTTATAATTGTTTGATGGATGACTAAAACTTAACAAAGACAGTTCTAAACTTCTAAAAAAAGGGATATTGTAGTTTCACCATTAGCACTCAAACCAAGGAATATGTTCTTTTTAAAATGGCTCACACCTAGGAATATGTTGTAAAGCTAACGTGCAAACAAAAGAAAAAAGATGCAGATTTAGGTTGATATCCCTCAATTTATTTACATCAATCCGGTAACTGTTTGTTATTTGGCCTCTTCGTGGTGGTGGTTTATGTACAGCACTAACGGAAGACAAGGATAACTTTGGACAACATTCATGGTCGGATATTTCTCCCCCATGTTGCTGGTAAATGCACAGTAACTAAATTCTCACCAAAGCTCTGATACTATGTGGAACAAGAGACATGGAGAACGAATTTGAGAGAAGCACGACGATAAATTTCTTATGTTTGGGTCCTTTTATAGTCAAGAACATTCAATTTATATAGTTACATCCGGGATGTCGTACACTTCTGTATTCACATCTAAGTCTAATCCATTTACACAATCTATCTAGCAGTAGATAATCCCAAAATCACTTGTAAAATACTTATCTCGCTTATAATCTGTTTGGCCAAACTTTTGAAAGGTCAAAAGTGCCTTATATAAATAAATAAATAAACTTATTTTAGAGAATAAAGGCATTCGGGCAAGCTTTTGGTGAAGAGATAAGTACTTTTGGGCAGCAGAAGCAACCTTTAAGCTTTAAAGCAGAAGCTCAAAAGTAGCTTCTACCAAAAATAATTGCTTTTGATTTTGTAAGACATGAATACCCATTGCAAAAATTTATATTTACCAAATTACTCAGTACGTAACTTTCTAGTTTTTACAATTATCCATTAAAGTTTCATATTGTTATATCTAGGAGGTGTGAGAGGTTAGTCCTAGTGGGTA